AAGCTGTGTAAACTTAACCAAATCCCTCTAAACTTTGATTTCTTCTTTATTATCAAAGAAGGGGTAGGTTTAGATCAAGGATTAACTTGAGTTCCAAGGAAGGGTATCAGGAGGTCAAGAAAGTCCTAGAAATTATTGGCAAAATTTGATGTATATGTGTCTTTTTCTAAGAAGTGGTTTTATGATTTTCTTTGTTTTATTTTTAAAAATATTTTATTTTGAAAACGTGGGGTATAACTCAGGATTAGGTATATAAGAGGACATCATACAGGTAAAGTTTGGGCCTCCCTTCGGTCCCCACCTTGCCTGGTTTGAGATCAGCTACCCTTATTAATGTTGTGTTCTCAGAGGGGCCTGGGACTCAAAAGTTTTAAGAACTGATTTAGACAGTCTCTTCATTTTTTTCACTTCTGACAGTCTCTACCTTTAAACAATGTCTGTCTGTCATCATTACATACATTCACGAAATACTCATGTGCACACTGCCCAGCTGAGCACAAGACAAAAATAGGATGAGACAAGATATGAGCCTACCGGGAATAGATCATTATTATGACCATCATCATTAATATGGGACGATGAGGGGAGGACATGGAATCCTACTGAGACCTGTCATTATAGTACAAACCAATGGTTTATGCATTCAAGCCTTCTTCAAAATTATTTTCGGGGAAACCAAGCTCCTTTGCCACCCTGGCAGAAGTTTCAACAGAGAAGTCTATTTTTAATCTGGAACTAACACACTCAATACAATAAAATACATTTCTATAACAGATATATACAAATATATCTGGACAAATGTATTTTTTGTTCTCATCCCTGTAATGTTCTATGTAGAATTTTTTAAAAATAGGACTCATCCTGTTTTCATGAATAGACAAGAAAGTACAAAAGCAAGCTGAATTAAAACTGGGCTCCAGCCGGGCTCGGTGGCTCAGCCTGTAATCCTGCGCTTTGGGAGGCTGAGGTGAGTGGATTGCCTGAGCCTGCAGGTTTGAGACCTGCCTGGGCACTTGGCGAGCCCTCATCTCTATAATAAATAAAAAAATTAGCCGGGCGTGGTAGCGCATGCCTGTAGTTCCAGCTACTTGGAAGGCTGAGGCGGAAGGATCGCCGGAGCCCAGCAGGTCGAGGCTGCGGTGGCCGGAAGCGGCCACTGCACTCCAATCTGGGCAACAGAGTGAGACTCCAACTCAAAACAAAAAACAAAAAAAACTGGGCTCCTTAAAATTGTGTTATTTCTAAGTCAAAGAGTAATAATCTTCCAAACATTTCACCTCTTTTGACTTTGAACGTTCCAATTTTTTTGAAAATCCAATTCTTTCTTAACAAATAGTTAACAAGTGTATGGTTTATGCAAGGTTCTGAAGGTGGTTTACAGATGAATGAGACACTCCTGTCTTCATGGAGCTTACACTCCAGTGGGGAGTTAGATAAGCATTGGAACATCATACCACAAAGAAGCCAAAAGAAAGCCTATTGGGATTCAAAGGAAGGAAAGAGTATATTTAGCTAGTGAAGTCATGGAGACTGAGAGAGTGAACAAGATTTAGATCTGCAGGGGCAAGAAATAAGCAGGCATTTTTGGTGGGGGGATTATTATAAATAAAAGCATAGAGTTAGAAAGAAGCACGGGACATGTTTAAGGCACAGGGAGTAATCCAAGTTCCCTGGAGAGTTACCTGGGGATGGGGAGATGAGAAGTTGCGAATGTTATTGTGTAAAATCTTTGATATCAGAATAAAGAGTTTGTTCTCAATGCTATAAGCAACAGGACTACTAAAGGCTTTGGAAGAGGGGCAAAAGATTATAGAATTACAGAAATTTTGAATTCAAGATTCCTCCACCCCTATCCCCAAGGGAATCAGAACAGGAACCCAAAAAGCTTGCCAGATTCCTAAATCCAAGCTCTTTGCATTATAGCATTAGCCTCACAAGGGGTTACTCAGTAGCAGTGTGTAGGACAGAGGAGAGAGGACAGGAAGAATGGGAAGGTAGCAGTGAGTACAGACGTTCAGGAGAGAAGTCCAAGTGGAACCAAGACCTGAACAGCAGGGGAGAGGGGCGGAGTAGTGGTCAGAGGAGGCACTGGGGCCGGATTTCCCTTCTTCCTCCTCTATGGGACTCAGAGCACTACTTAGCCATGCCTATCAGAGAGGTGGGTCATTTATCCTTACTAACTGATCTGGGAAGCAAGGAGTCAACTGGCCCATCCTTGTTCAGATTATGAACCCTTTCAGTCCTTCCAGCTCTAGAGATGTTGTGAATTCTCTAGAAAAAAAGAGGCCCAAATTCATGCCAGCCCAGATCAGAAGCAGCCTGGGAACGGCCCTTTTAAAGGATCAGTAGATGATTTTAGGATTCAGGCAACTCTATGGGTTTTCTTTCTGGCCTTGCTGGAAAATGTCCAGGCATACCAGGGCTCCAAACCACGCTGCAAATAAAGGCAAATTCAACCCACAGAACTGCTTATCCTATGACCCATGCAAGGGTGTTCATTGCAGAGGGGCTGCCTCAATGTTTCTCCCTCAGATGCCCAACTCTTACACAGTTGAATCAACTTAAAGCTGGGATGTCATGAGACTGGGTATGCCTGACAAAAGCCAAGACATGGCAGCATCTTACTAGTAAGTGAGAATGATGGAAATCCCGTTATGCAGAATTCTAAGACAGCAGTCCTCTTTTCTCCTCTATCTGGCTTTAGTTTGTAACAATTTTAGAAACGGACCCAAGAAAGAAATCATGAGACACGATGAAGGCAGAGTATCCACCCAACAGATTACTTTTTCATCAGACCCATGATTACACACAGTAGGCCCTCAATAAAGAAGGGCCAGTGAATCAAAGACACCTTTTGCCCCATGTCTTGATCAGTTGCTCCTTTCTTATGAACTGAGAGGATGACCACCATCAATGTTCGAATCCTGGCACAGACACCAGCTGATTTTAACCAATCATGTCACTATCCGCTGTAAACTGTGCCCATCGCAATGCTGGTATAGACCAGGTGCTCAAAAACTGTGAGTTTTGTTTCCCTTCCCCAGACCTCTCCTATAGGAGAGGATCACGCTGACATGTTACACTCAATGAAGACGACTGAACTGGACTTGCCTACGACTCTTATCTTTAAGACATTATCTTTAAGAGTTGTTACAACATAACCTTTGTTGTTCTGCAGAGACAGGAGGTTGTACAGCACAGCACTTTAGCAAAGACTCTCTGGAGGAGACAGCCTACATTCAAATCCCATCTCTGCTAATAGGAACTAGTGGCCTTGAGCAAGTGACCTGACCTCTTTACACCTTGATTTCTTCATCTGTAAAATGGGGGTAATATGAATGGGCAGCCAACAGGGCTGGTGAAAAGAACAAGTTGAGTTAACAAGATAGTAACAAAAGGTCCCGTATAACAAGGACTTAATGCATACTAGCTGTTTTTAATAAGATGGCTCTGAAGCTTGATTCTACTAAACATCTAGTGATTGGTAGCTTAGTGGTAGAGGCCAGTAAAGGTGCTATCCAGTTATGCCAGATGTGCACAAAAACAGTATTGCAATATTTGATCAATGCCTGAATGAGCTTAGAACATAGGCCCTCCCTTCCTGCGCTACTTAGAGTTTGGTCTAGTCCATCTCTTTAACTCCTCTAACTAGGATAAACTGTGAGCCCAAGACTGCCCTAGACATATGGCCTAGTTGGCTTCAAAAAAGACAGTGAACTCTAGTCACTTATTGCAGGGTGACTTTTAGTGCCTCTTTACTTTTGTTTGGTGGTTCTTCTAGACACCAGCCTCTCTTACACTCCTGGTTTGTAGACTGTCAGAGCTAGTAGTGACTTCGGAACCATCCAGTTTTCTCATTTTAGAACTAAGGGAACAGAAGCACTGGATAGGAAGGAAGTTGTCCGAGGTCACCCAGCTAGTCACTCAGCTAGTCTCCCGTTGCTGGTGTGCAGGGCAGTGCTCTTTCCACCCCTCTATGACTTTCTGAACTCCAGCTAACTTTTGGTCCTGTCTCCAGGGGGACCCCACACTTCTGGTGCACAGTACTTTTCTTCCGCTCTCCCCGCCCACCTTTCCTGCCCTGTCCCCTCAGATATCCTCAGTCACCCTCCTGCTGGCTCCTGCCACACACATCCCCAGGCGTCCTGTCCTGCAAGCCTGCCTGTTTCCAGCCCAAGCACGGCAGCCCGTGTGCTTTAGGGCCTCTGAGGCCCCAAGAGTCCTGCCTGGGAGACACCAGGAATGGACACTAAGGAGGGATCTCTTTGCCCCAGGGCCTGTTTCAGGAGAAAGTGGCAACTTGCTCGATTTCTCTCTGTTCTGGCCTCGACTCCATTTTTCCCAAGTCTTCACACCGTTCAATCTCCTCCAGTCTTGATCTTCTCCATATTCCCTGTCCTCCTCTCTCTCCTTCCCACCTCCTTCCCTTGCCCGCCCTTCCTCTCCCATGTCACTTTCCGCGACTGCACCTTCCCGGTGCCCCTGGTGCCCGGCCCTTTTTTCCTCTCCCCTTTCCTCTCCTACCCGGCCTCTTCCTCCATTCCCTTCCTCTCACCCTCCGACACATCTGTTTCTAATCTGAGCCCTCGGAGGCGCCTGCTTGAAACAAAAAAAACTACCCCCACCCTCAGGAACCTGGCACAAAAAAATCCTGGAGAAATCTTCCCTCCCCCAACTCCCCAGTTTTCCTAGATACTCCAGAAACTAAACACCACCCTAAAAAGGACCCTGTACATCAAACGCTTTGCGGCCAAACTGGACCAAGAAGCACCGCCACCCCCCAGCCTACTCAAGGGCCCAGATGTGCGAGACGTTTTCGATGGCCGACTGGGCGGTCCTCAGCTGCCAGATGTGCTCCTCCGTGGCCAAGAGGCAGGGACGGAGGAGTCAGCTCCCTCCGGGGGCTGCGGGGACAACCGTTCGGAGCCAGTGTCTCCCCCGGACTCAGGGCTGTGTTTGCCCGCGGCCACCCAAACTCCCGCCCTCCCCGAGGCACTCACCTAGAAAGAGGAGGAGGAGGAGGGACATCCCGATCCTCGGACGCGGGCACTTCCCCGCTCAGCCGCTGCCTGGCTCCGCGGCGGCCGGGCGCAGCCGAAGGACCTCC